ATCTAATTAATAATGAAAATATACGCATAAAAAAAATATGTTTAATTTTTGTTTTGTTGTTATTTGTTTAACCCCATTGTACCTTGAGCAGTGCTTCATTTTTAAGTGTTAAGCAATGCAGAAATGTAATTTCCTACAGTCAGATGTTCTTTACACGAGGACAAGGTACCACCTCGTTTTTTAAAATTCATTTATCCAAGGCTTAATGTTGCACTGCTTTGATAAGAGTCAAATAGGAAGCAATAAGTCGAACAGCAATATTGTTTGCTGTGTCTAACAACTGAAGTTTGAGGCCAACCTATGGTGCAATGCTGTTTCCTGGACTTTGTCAATTTCACAGCCAATCTGCATTTACTCTTCTTTTTTCTAGAGATGAGATGAGCCCCCACCACGTTGCCCAACTGATAAGAGGTGCCATTTTTATTGCATATGAGAAACATCAAACGGAATGAAAGTGGAACGAAACCGCACTACTCACTTGAGCTGCGCAATGCGGACCGCTTATTAGCTCGGACCGACAGACATGGCAGCGTGAGCTCAGAACAGGTACTCACGGGCCAGTCTTTGATCACGCGACACGTTACTACACAGTGCTGGGATAGTAATGGGCGATATAAACGATATGCAATATAAACGATACAAAATTGGTCTACGATATGGATTTTAATTATATTGCACTATCGCGATAATGCATGTTTAACGCAATCTACCCGCAAAATTTAGAGCCACGAGCTGCAAACGGCTGCAACGCATCATCGTATTCGACATCTTGAGTAAACATGGCTGAAAGCGAAACGGAGGAGCTGGTAAAAAAAACCGGTGCAACATCCATTGGTTCGGATTTAAGCCGTCCGACGAGCAGCAGCAAACTATACTCTGTATGGGCAACAGTTCTGGCTAACGCCTGTTTCACACATATTCCGTTTGCAGTGCATATGTAGGCTATATATTTTTTCCGTACCCATGTTAACAGGCCTGCACGCGGATGCGGTGCGGCAATGCGTTCCAGGAGCGGTGTGTATACAGCAGTGCAGTGATCGTTTCCACACAGTCTATTTCTGCTGTGCTGCACGTGCTGAATTAAAGTGACAGCGCATGGTTCATGGTCAAAATGAACACGGATTGATATGAAAATATAGTAATCTTTTTACTAATATAGTAAAAAAAAAAATTATACTATTTTTCAATCATTTTCTTTTTAACTTTAAGCTCGGGGTAATTAAAGCAAGGAAACTACACAGTAACATTACCTCAACAACGCGACATAATGGATGCACTTGTCTCTTCGTGAAACAAGTTCTTTGTGATTGCAATATTTCTTGTAAAAAAGATTTAAATGCAAAAGAAAAGGTATGAGAGAGCTGTTTATGTCAATTATGTATGTTTTAATTTAAAATGTTTGCGATGTTAACATAAATGTATAAATGTTTTGCCACTTGCTTGAGCAACTTAATATATAAATCTATATAGAAGTAATAATACGTTTTTAAGTGTTATAAATTTAAACGTTAATAGCCTAAGTCTTGTGAAAGAGTGCGTATTACTAGCCTACTGTCTGTGTACAAATAGAATCACAATGCTGAAACTCTTTTATATTATTTTATAAAAGACACTAATAATATAAATAGTGATTTGAAATAAAAAATAGAGGATTAATGTTGTTTGTCGTACAGCCGTAGATCAGTTGCGCACTGCAAACGCACCATATGTGAAAGCACAATAGCGCGTGCTGCTCCTGTGCCGCACACCACCGCACTGCACTGCACACGGAGTATGTGTGAAACAGGCGTGCACTACAGGAAATAAACCCAATACTTTAAGCTTTTTCTTTGTTAAAGTCTCTGCAGCTAGTGTACTTGAATTTTATTCATCTGCAACATTATGTTCTATAATTACAGTTTTGCATAATAAATGTTTTTAAAACAAATACATTTTGCAGTTTGGCTTTCCTTATGGTCTGTCTAACCTGTTCTGAAATGGTTCTATTATAATTTATATATCGTGATATATATCGTTATCGCAAGAGGCTGCAATGTATATCGCAATATGGATTTTAGGCCATATCGCCCATCCCTATGCTGGGAGATCCAGTGAGAAAGCGTTTGAATTCATAACATTGCTGTGAGATCTAGTGAGAAGCATTTAAATTTGGCGCAGAATTCTCAATCAAACAACACTGATATGGAAACCAGGAGAAAGAAACGTGCCATGAATGAGCAAATTATAGAAGGCTTTTCAGTCCACAAATCACCAACATTCACCATGGATTTAATGTAGGAACACTAACTGTAACCATGGTATTGTGGCAGAAATAGTCAAATGTTTTTACTAGGGCTGTCAGTTAAACGCGTTATTAACTGCGTTAACGCAAGCCCATTTTAACGGCGTCAATTTTTTTTATCGCGCGATTAACGGTCTTTTTGGCCTAGCAAACTTTGTCGTTTTTTTCACATGCTTTTGCAACAGGACGCGGCATGGGCGGCGCTGCGCTATGAAACCCATTCATTTCAATGGCTTGCGCCGCGCGAGGACGTTTTGTTGCTTCGTCGACCAAAGCGCAAGCGGATCTAGCTAGACCGGAAACAAAACAACAGGCACGCCGCACACAATCGTTTGGGCTTGCGAGCCGGACAAATAGTTGGTTAACGTTACGTTTTGAGTGGATGACGAGCGCGAGACGCCGAAATGGATGCCAATAAGATTCTGAATGTAAAGTTTACTTTTAAAAAGTTGCCAAATGACTAGACCAAAGTGATCTGTGTGTTTTGTCGTTGTGAACTGAGCTATCATCTTCGCAGCCGCAGCACGTCCAGTCTGAAATATCACTTGATGATGGCCAAGCACACACACACACAGCTGATGCGAATTCTCCGCCTCCTCGTCAATATCAGGACCTCGTCAGTATTTCTTTCACCCTTTTATTGATGGACAGTGTTACATTGTGTGAGAGATTATTTGCTCCAAGTGAGAATGTTAGTGTGAAGTTGAACACAGTATATGCCAATGTTGTTTTCAATAAAAAACATTTGCACAAAGCAAGAAATCAAGAGACATTTAGAATAGATAAAAATGTGCGATTAATCGCGAGTTAACTATGACATTAATGTGATTAATCGCGATTAAATATTTTAATCGTTTGACAGCACTAGTTTTTACATTAAAGGGTTAGTTCACCCAAAAATGGAAATTCTGTCAGTAATTACTCACCCTCATGTTGTTCCAACCCCGTAAGACTTTCGCTCATCTTGCCGGCCCAGAAAAATTAGTAAAGACATTGTTAAAATAGTCCAAGTGACTACAGTGGCTCAACCTTAAAGGTATAGCGGAGGATCTTTCCGAATTTTAGAGAAGACCCGCCCTCTCCAATTTTTTTTAAAAATGCACATGCGCAACACTCTATTTGCTCATGAGAGGGAACGCCTATTAAACTTTTACTAGCAGTGATTTTAAATGGATTTCTCCAAATAGCATGACAAACTTTACCCGTCTAGTAGAATCTTCGCGACTGCGGCATCAGTGCTTTTAGCGCACGCCAGCGTGTGAAATATTCACCCAAAATCACTCTGGTCTTATTTCTATATTCTGCAGCCTTTCTCTTCTTATCATACACTTATACATTTTTTCTCTTTCAACCCTCAGCCATTTTCAAAGGAATGGCTGAAACCGTAACTCATCACATATAATACACGTGAAAGTGCGCATGCGCAGAAAGCGAAAACTACATGGGTACGAGCACGTACGACGGCCTTACGTAAACATATCACCAGAATGATTGACACTTAGGTGGACCAATAGTATAGGCTACCCACCCGGAAAAAGAAAATCCTCCGCTATACCTTTAAGTTTATCAAGCGACGAGAATACTTTTTGTGTGCAAAACAAACAAAAATAGCGACTTTATTCCACTATTAATTTCCTTCTGTGTGGGCCTCTGAGTGAGTTGACGTAGTGTAACAGCGCAGCGCTTCTGATGAAATGTACGAGTCTGGTGGGACCAGGCTAGCATTGGTGAGCACAAGAGACTTCTTCTAAAAATTGTAAAAAAAAAAAAAAAAAAATATTGGTACTGTGTTGTCCCTGCAATTAACCTAACTCACAACAACACTGTGACACGAATACTGAACACTGAGTGAGCTGTTGATGTACAGGTAGGGTTCACAGAACACAAACTATTTTTAGGGTTGAGACATCGGACATCAGAGACAATATGAGGAGTTCCCACAGTTTTTGACCAATGGATTTCCATTGATTTACCAATTGTATCATGATTATATATATTTTTTTAAATCAATGAAAATTAATCAATCTTTACGTTATTCCAAATACCTTTGACTTTCTTTTATCCGTGAAACATTACAAATGAATTTCGGCAACACTTTACAATAAGGTCTCATTTGTTAACATTAGTTAACACATAACTAACCTGACCTAACATGGTTAGATGAGCAATATATTTTTACAGCATTACCTGTTAATGGAACTTAAAATATATATATATATATGTTCATCCAAGTTCACAGTGCATTAACTAATGTTAACTACAACTTTTGAAGTTAAAAATGTATTAGTAAATTCTGAGATTAACAACCAGATTAAAAAATGTTGTATTGTTAATTGTTAGTTCATGTTAACTAAGACAAGCATATTCATTAGACAATTTTAAAATTGGTTTTATATGACCACAGGAGCCCTGAATATGTCAGAGTCTGAGCAAACAAGACCTGGACAACAATGTAGCAATAAACTTTAAATTACAATAGTAAATGCATCTACGTGTATTGCAAGGTCGGGGACATAAACTCTTAACTCTTCCTCGCAAAAGTTCAACAGTCAAATCCAATGCAAAATACACAGGAGGGCAGCTGACATGTAAAACCTGCCTTAATAAATAACTCACTGTAAGTTACTGCAGCCATGTTGAGCTGTCAATGTTTACAGGCGCACACCAACTGCGTTGCAAACAGTTTGTAACACTTTTGAGAAGAACACAAAACTAATACCTGCAGAGTGTGTTTCAGACGCGTTCTCCATTGGCGTTTCGGCATCAGAATAGTCTTTAAACTGAACTTCTCTCAGAGCTTCGGTAACAGGCCAGATTTTACCAACGATCGCGTCTCTGAACGACTGAATATAATCCATTTTCAGATCTTACCCAAAACATTTAAAACATTTAAAAAGCAATAAAAAAACAACGTAATAACGCCGAGCTATCTGCCCAGAGCTGACAGTGAAAACATGAGAGCAGAATCAGGAACTGAAACTGACAGCAGCTGCCTGCGGCGCGACTGCTCAACTTTTCGCCGTTATTAGCGCGAGCAACGTGACGCGACCAGAACGCATCCTCTACACTGCGAGTGATGGAATGCTGACGTAAACAAAGACTTTGATTGGTCGACTGGCTGCGACGTCAGGGTTTTAAGCGCGATAGACGCGTCGCGTTGGTAGCAGTACTGTATGTGTATACAGTGAAACACATGAGGGGGGAAAAAATGACCGAAACAACATTTATTTGAAAAAAATATCGCACAGTTTCAAGGTAATACCAGGGTGATTCTCTGAATTGGGTGCCCTTCAAGTCCCCCAAACTTGCTTCAAAGATTTTCAATTGAAGGAAATCACAAAATGCATTTTAATGCTGTCAATTAATAGAACCAGGTGCCTTTGCATTATAATGCAACACAATTTCTTTAATTTTTTTATTTTATTTAAAGATAAGGTTGCCTAAGTAGTAGACAACAAGCAAGTTTGCATGTCCTCACTAACCATCATTACATTTTCATTGCATATCAAACAAATAAAAAGTACAATTAATACCAAAATGTTGCTGCTAATATAATCATATGTTGGTCTACTTTAACTAAAATATACATATATATATAAAAAATAATTAATTATATATGAAATTACAATATTTATACACGTCCTCCAGTTTGTTTTCAACCCCGTCACGCCATACTATTTACCCCCCTATAAAAATAATGGATCAATCCCTGTGGCATCTCATCCAGGAAGTGACATCACACAAGTCTCTTAAAGAACATGCTGCAAAGAAAGGCAAGTGTCAGTATCTTTTCTTACCTATATTTCATGTTTTTCGCTGTCAGATTAAGATTGTCAGGCTCAACATTTCAACTCTGTTGTATGACTAAATGATAGTAAACAACGGTTTGAGAAGAATTAAATAATAGTTTTGCAAAACATTACAATTTTATGATGTCCTAAATGCCATGTGGTGCTACTGTCTTTGCTAAGTAAGGAGTTATGGCTACTATTAGCCAAAAACTTCAACCCCGTCACATTCAACCCCGTCACATTTTTAGTATAACAGGGTTGAATCGTTGTGACAGGGTTGAATGTTTGACACTTCTTAGTAGATTACTCAATTGTAGACTTGTTGTATTGTGATGTGAACTGTCAGAAATAATCGATTATGCCATTTTATTTTCAGACATCGCAATGGCAAAAACAGCAGCAGAGAGGCAAAGACAGTACAGAGCAAGAAGGGATGCAGACGCAGAGAGAAGGGAAAAATATCTCAGGAGTGAGCGTGAAAGGTGGAAAAGGGACACAGAGGCAGGGAAAAAGAAAGAATAAGTCGTAATATATAATAAATAAATCCATTCTATATTGAAATAATGATGATCACTTCAACCCTGTTATCATTTTCAACCCCGTTATGCTGAGTTCAACCCTGTTATTTGATCGTTTTTATTAATATTTTCGTGATAAGAAGACAAATTAGGTCAATGTTTGTTTTGCTGTGTGTAGAATTTACCGGACAGTCGGAAAAAATACGAAAGCCTGATTAAATCCTAATTTTAATGCATATTTTGTGATAAGATATGAAGACCAATGTTAGATACAGTTTTCATGAGCTGATTTGGTATTCAAATGGTGAGTATTTAAAAATAAAATTCTACATGCAATAAATGATATCAAACAAGGGACATCTCATTGAAAAGCTTCTACAAGAATTTACTTGAAAATCTTTTAAAACCATATTTAAACAGGGTCCAAGTGGTCTGTGACGGGGTTGAACTTCAAAACAACTTTCAGTAAGAAAAAACACTCAATATCGATTAGAATTTCATGCCTGAGGTGGGAAAATGCATTTTCTTAAAGGTTTGACTAATCCACTATCACATGAAATGATCAGAAATACAACTATTTGAGGTATATAAAAAAAAAAAAAGGTATGACCCAAAAGGCACCCATCTCAGAGAATCACCCACCAAATTCGTGTTTTGAGTTAACGTCCTACTCTAAAAAAAAAAAACAACAACAAAAAAATCTTGGTTAAAAAAAAATTCAATTATAGCCTATTTTTAAACCCACCGGCTGGGGTTGTCCATATTTTACCCAAACGTGGGATGAAATAACCCAGCATTTTTTAGAGTGTTTTGTTTATTGGCTAGTTTTGCGAAAATTTTTGTGTTGGTAAATTGGTCTTAAACAACAAACACGACATATAAACTAGAACATACAGTAGCCTGTAGGCCTACGGTACAAAAACATAGCCTACTCAGTTGTGCATGATTTGGTAATATTTTAATACAGTGGACACTAATAATATTGTCTTTGAAGTTACTTGGAGTACCTTGTAAAATAAACTGTAAAATAAATCTTATTTGAATATAGAAATAATTGAGTATCAAACTACTTCAAACTAATATACAAAACTAATATATTTTTGTGAGGTTTAAATTTGTATTTATTTAAATGAATTTAAATGCTGTTTTGAAGCAGTAAATTGTGAAAAATGTTGTGCCTTAGCCCTATACTTAAAAAAAAAAAATCCCAGTCCCAGATGATCATGACATGCTGTATGATTTTACCATGCCTCAGGCACACTTTTGACCTGTTACATAGCATGACACACTGCTATCACATGCATACCTATATCTCAGCATGCCAAAATAAAAGTAAATCTTGAATTCAGAGGGGGTAAATTAGGCAAACATGCTGTAATTATGCAGAGAGTCACAATTATATTTTAACTTGATGAAAACAGCTTGCAGGGAAACGGATTCGTATCTCCACCTCCCCAACAACATCTATACAGCTCATCTGATGATATGAGAGCCACTGCTAATTGCAAAGATTGTTCAGTGTCTTTTTAATTCATCAAGTTAATTACATCCCAAAGGGTGACAAATGAAATGTGCCTCTCAGGCCAAATTTACACAGATCCCAAAATCCCAAAAAAGGACATGAGTGAAACTCCATCTGCTGGTCAGCCATAATGTTGCACACTGCTAGATTTGTGCCACGTTTAGCCCAGCTGAGTTAGCAACAAAGATGACATGCATAAAAACCACTGCTGATAAAAGACATCATCTGAGTAACACTGAAGCCAGAAAGTTCTGACACCAAGCCAAAACAACTGTGATTAGAGGAAAACGACCGAAACTTCCTCATCATCCTGACCTGGTATTTTATCATTCCTCTAATTGGTCAGTTTAGTGCAGGAACTGTGGAGTAATTTCAGTGAAAATTACTCCACAATTATTAAAAAATATCAGTGTTATTTTAGTACTATGTGTTAATATTTTGAACTAGCTTTTATTTTTTATATTTTCATTTTAGTTTTTAGTAATGTGCTTGTGTCATTTTTATTAGTTTTTATGTGTTTTGTATATGTATTTATTTTTATGTATATGTTTTTATTTTTATTTTATTTAGATTTTAGTTTTAGTCATTTTAGTACTTCAACTTCAACTTAGTTAGTTGCCAAAGCAAAATTTCAAATTTTCATTAAAACATTTTTTTTTTCATGTAATATAGGCTATTTTATTTCAATTACATGAAAACAGTTTGTTAACAGTTTTAGTGAACAACAACACTGCCCGAAATGAAAATTCTCTATTTACTCAACCTCATGTCATTCCAAGCGGTTACTTTTTCTCTTGTGGATCTCAAAAAGAGAAATTTAGAATGTTATTCCATGAGTAAGAATCTAAATTTCTTTCTGTTTCTCACACAAAGCTGTTGTATGGCTTCAGAACACGTGCTCAATTTGTATGGGCTACTCTTATAGTTTGCTTTGGTCTTTTTTTTTGGAGAAAAAAAAATTTATCCCAAATAATTCTATTTATATTCCACTGAAAATAGGATGTTTCATTTGTTGGTGAACTATCCCTTTAAGGGCACACAGAAGCTAAAAAAAGAGCCCCTTGTTATGCTGTAATTGCATGGCAGTTCGCATGTCATTAAATTATTTCTTATATAATAAGAGGTTCTGCTGGACTCAACTCAGATACAGAAACATCCTATTGATTCGATGTTCTCCGCAAGCTCAGCTGTAATTAAAGAACGGTTTAATTTGATCGGCCTTATGAAAGATCTATCGTTCTCATTTCACAGACGAGAAATAAAATAAGCCCTATTAGTTGAGGGAGATTAAAGCAGGGCTTCCCTCCCATCCAATATTCCTCTATACTCTCATTGCACACAGTGTTCATTGGACGCCTTCTATTTCAATTTCCAGAATGGAAGAGAGTCTGGGGAAATAATAAGGAGCACACTGAATTAGTTCAGTTGTTCTCCATTAGATATTTATAGTGATTCATCAAACGTTCCAAAGAGAATAAGGCAGGATTTTTCCTTATGCATGGATCCATCCCGCCCTGTTTCAACAGCTTAGGCTGCTGGTGGTGTTGTGGGAAATATTTTCTTGGCACACTTTAGGCCCCTTAGTAGTACCAATTGAGCATCGTTTAAACACCAAAGCCTACCTGAATACTGCTTCTGATCATGGCTACTTCCAGCAGAATAAAGCACCATGTCACAATGCTTAAATAATCTCAAACTAATTTCTTGAACAATGAGTTCATTATCCTCAAATGGCCTCCAGTCACCAGATCTCTGCAATAGAGCAGCTTTGGGATGTGGAGGAATGGGAGATTCGCATCGTGGATGAGCAGCCGACAAATCTGCAGCAACTGTGTGATGCTATCATGTCAATATGGACCAGAATCTCTGAGGAATGTTTCCAGCACCTCGTTGAACTTATGCCACAAAGAATTAAGGCAGTTCTGAAGGCAAAAGAGGGTCCAACCCGGTAGCAAGGTGTACTTAAAGTGTGAGTGTACACACACACACACACACACACATCATCACTGTAACCAATAACACTTTATAGGTCCCTAATTATTGAATGCAGTCAACAAGGGTCTAAAATTAACACCCACCCAGCACCAAATGCAAGAAAAATGGCCTTTGAGTAAATTTAATGGAGATACTCGCCAATCTGCCAGTGAATTCATAAGGAACTGTAAGGCTTAAATTA